ATGGTGTACTGTACTGCCACAGGCCCAAATAATCAGGTCAACTGTCTCAGGTGCCTGTCACAGAAACGAAGCACTGTTCCCATGTAAGCACATGTTCTAAATTAAACACAGCTGGGGTCTGCTGCCGCTAAGGCTCTCAGGTAACCAAAGAAGAATTGGGATGTATTTCTAACCACACATCCAGGAATTCCAAGAACAGTAAATGCTGTAAAGAACCTATGTGAAATCAGTATGTACAATTAAATATTTAAAACAATCATGTTACAGTGCAGTAGCCGCACACTTGGCTCATGAACACCCAAGCACACAGTAACTGAAGCTCAGAGCATTCAGAGAACTGCCCCGCCTTCCTTACCATAGACATGCTGCCTCCCAGAGGCTCGGGTCACACCTGAGAGCTGTGCAAGAGAAACTCAGAGTTAAACACCAGCATCAGCTCTGCTCATTCAACAGGAAGGGGTCATGGTACAATGGGGTGACTGCACTTACAAGCATAAATGAGAATGGAAAAAGCAAGCTATCTAAGACATGAACCGTGATATCATTCATTAAAAAACAAACAAATAACCAGGAGGGAAGAGTATAGACCACAGCATCTGCACAAGCCCCACATAGCAGAGGGGCACAGCAGGAAGGACAGCTAGAGCAGTTGGCAAACAGGAGGGGAGAGGGGCCAGAGTGGAAAGAGGTGGGGAAGGTGAGAGTCCACCTGAAGAAAACAGAGAGAGGTCCTTGAGTAGGCTTAATCACACACAGTATCGACCAATCCCTGACTCCCTTCTCCTATAATCAGAGGAAGACAGCAGCAACTGTCTTGCAAATGTAGTTTTTAGTGGCTCTAGAAACATCTTATTTAAAAAGTTGTTAAAATGTGGGTGAAGGTAACTCTACTTTTCAGTACCAAAGAATTTCTTTATAAATTTATAAAGAAAAGAAAATGCCGAAGTTGCCCAGGCTTTCTCTAAAGAAACAGAATTTTTGCTGAAGGACTTCTACTACTGTAAGCAAATGCAAGATATTCTAAAAAGACAGGGGTCAAGCTCACAATAAAATTAAGGCTTCTGTCTTGGACTCTTCTGCATTCCTGCAAAGTAACTATTTCAACAAATGATAATGTCTGGTGCGGGTTACATAATTATAACAGTCACAAATAATTTATCCAACAAATGCATATTTTAAAACCTACATGATCAGCCGGGCAGTGGTGTTGCACGCCTTTAATCCCAGCACTCGGGAGGCAGAGGCAGGCGGGTCTCTGAGTTCAAGAACAGCCTGGACTATAGAGAGAGATCCAGGACAGCCAGGGCTATACAGAGAAACTGCCTCAAAAAACAAAACAAAACTCTATGATCTATCTTTCAACAGAAGCAGCAGCTAACTGTCTACTCCACACCAGAGGAAGAGGCAGCGTCTATTATAGTGATAATGTCATGTAAAAACAAACACACAAACTACTCGTGCTTGTGTCTAGGTATGCATGTGTGTGCGTGTATCATGGAGTGCATGGTTCCTCAACTGTAAGGAAGGACAGGCAAAGGCAACAACAACAGCGTCAGCACCCTCAGTGTTAGGACTCTAAGGCCCTGAAGTTCAACATAGAAGTCACTGACAGTCATGTCTGCCTTACAAGTACCACTTCCTGATACCCAGCATTTCTGAGCCATTCTCACATACTGCTGGCTACTAAACATCCAGTCAACAACTGTGGTAGGGAGATCCTCAGAGAGCAGGATGCCCTGCACGGAGACAGGAACCAGCCAGAGAGGGAGCCCCTTGAGCAGCGGAGACCCAGCTACTGTGGGCCCTATCTTTACAACTGGACAGCTTTCCCTGTCACTGGCCCAAACTCCAGATTGATGGGAACTGCACCTCCCTGTATCATTGAGTGGTCCCTCCCCAGCCTCCTCATTTTCCCTCATTTCTCCTCTCTCTCTGGTGGAGTGTTTCCTGCTGCTGTGACAGAATATCATCAATTGGGTCACTGATAAACAAATGTACTTCCTCACAGCTCTAGGATGCTGGTATGCTGGCACCTGCTGAGGCTTCTTCCTGAAGTTCTGGCCTTCCTTCTTATAAAGCCACATGTGCTTACAATAGGGCCTACTTTTACTTTTGTTCCAAAGACGTCATTGGCACCTCTGTGGATCTTCCCCTGATACCCACATGCTGGGGACCCAACACCACCTGTCCCTCTTCTTCTAAGTGCACACTCACAGCCCAGGGCCAACATACTACCTAGGCACAGCCCCTTCTTCTTCCTGTTGGTTCATCCTGGTCACAATCCAGGCCTCAGCTACTCCTCCACCTCCATCTGCGGTCCACCACACTGTCCACCACCAACTTCCTCAACACTCAAGTTCACCTTGGCAGCTGGATTTTAGTATATTACCATTTTTGTCCCATGCTGGCCTTCCTCTTTCTGTCTTCCCAAATCCATCAATCAAGCATTGGAGGAGGGAGGGATCTCAGACACCACCTGGCCATACCCCATCCCCCAGCACCCTGTCTCATCTTCTGTCCCTTCTAATCCTTGGTAGAGTCCAGGTTCTCACAGCACAGAGTGCTTTCTCTCCTAACACTGCAAGCTGTGTTGTTTCTCACAGTCTAAGCAGCCCCCCACCAGTCCCCTGGTAGAGGGCTCTCATTTTGAGGACATGATCCCTGGGAAGGAAGAGAGCTTACTGCTAAACTGGGCTCTGCTCCTTTCCAAGGGCCCATTCATTACCCACTCATCAAGCTGACACAATCAGTGGGTTTTCTCTAATTCGACTCAAAGACCAGGAACTAGCAGGAAACAGGAAACTTTGGTTTTAGTGTGCTCTCCATGATATCTTATCTCCTTATGTCCAAAGCAGTCAGACACTGTGAGAGACACTGTGAAGAGCAGCTCCAGCCTCTAATGGCATTTCTGGAAGGAGGCACAATCTGGATGTAAACAAAACAAATCTTTAAAAGTATCCTAAACTAAAACGTAAAGCCACAAAAACTCCAGTGTTCAGTGCATCAAGAAGAGGTGAATAGAGACACAGCCTGCCCTTCTAGGTGAAGTGGCTTTAGCTTATTGGGTGCACAAGCAAAGATCAGAAATAGCTTCTGTCGTGTTGGATTGTGTAGAGCAGAGAAAAAGGTGTGCTGAGTGGGAAAACCATTTTCTGCAAAGAAAAGAGGAGTCTAAAAACTAGTTAGAGGTACTCAAAGAGCAGACTGATGCTTCTCCATAATTAATGCTGCACCTCATGAATTGCTGGTGGCTATAGCTGTGGGTGCTAACTGCCTGACAGACTAGGAAGCCAAGGATAATCAAGTGCTGAACCTGGTTTTCTACACAAGTCAAGGGAAGAACTAGGGGCAGATAACGGTGATTTACAGAGAAAAGTGTAGAGTTCAGACAAATATGTTCCAAGTATTTTAAATATTACCTTTCCTTTAAATATTACAGTGTATTATTTATAATAGCACTAGCTTCACTGTGGTCAGTGAGTAGATTTTAAGGCTAATGGATTTAGCAACAGGCCTGTACAGTATTACTGAGGTTTTATGTTATCTGTACCTAGACAAATACTAGTCTATCTCAGGTGGACAATCACATGAAAACAGAAAATCAATGAAAGGATCAATCAACGGAACAACACAGTGGAAAAAACAAAAAAGGTCTTTGCACCAGAGACAAATCTGCTTTTATGACCAACTATACACTGACTGGGGCTGACCGAGATGGCAGGAGATAAGCCCTCTTAGATGCTAGGAACTTAGTGTCTCCAAACACAAAGACCTTGATGCTATGGAGAACCAGATACACACAGAGGACCACAGGGAAGTTACAGAGGACTAAAGAGGAGAAGGAGCTGGCATTTGGTACACTCAAGATCAGAAAGCACATGACTGTTTATATGACACCTGGTTAGGTTAGAGTCTGCCATACCCTCCATCTCTACCTCTACCTGCAGTCCACCACATTGCCCACTGTGACTGGAGGGTTAGGGTTAACAAAATCATAATCCTCTTGTCCCAGCCTCCAGAGTGCTAGAATTATAGGCATAATTCACTGTGGTTTTTATACTTGTTGGGTGAATGTTGCAGCACTGCTTAGTAAATCAGGGTGACCAGTAACACTCTTCAGATCTTTTCCATTAAGACCTTTTTAAAGAGGAAAAATGATGTTCTGCCTGGAGTTTTCTTTTTGAAAAATTTTAACTATCACTTTTCAGCAACCATACACCCAGGTAGGTAGTGACTGTATTTCCTTCCTCTCTTCTGGACACACACAGGATGCCTGCTTGTTATTAGGAAACACCTCACTTCATCCCCAGTGGTACTTCTCATGGTCAAGTGTACTTGGCCATTGTTAATACAATCACATGCTTGCTACGAGCGACTCTGCAATGAAAGACGTACTCTCTTTACTTGGACTGGCCTTCAGTTATACCTGTACCTTTCAACCTGCTTTCCTGATTCTGACATAAACTCACAAAGAAGCAAAGAAACTAAATCAGAACCTGGACATTCTAAAGAGTAACTGATCTGAACTCTTTAGTAATAAAAACAATGTCCACTATTAACAAAGACAAGCCACAAACTGAAAAGACCTACAAAATACATCTGATAAAGGACTAATGTCTAAGAGGTACAAGGAATTATTAAAGCTCAACAAGCCAAGTAGCTTCTTGTTTTTAAAGTGGGCAAGCCCAGAATGTGGCTAAGTAGAGCAGCTGCACACATAGCACACACAGGCTGTGGCTCCACACCCAGGGTAAAACAGACCTGAGCAGACACCTTAGCAAGGGAGACAACAGATCATGGTCAGGCACACAAAGAAATGCTGAACATTACCAGGACTACTAAGAATTATAAACTCAACAGCAAAAAGATATCACTACATACTGTGGATATCGTTCTGCATAAATAAAACACTGATTGGCCAGTGGCCAGGCAGGAAGTATAGGCGGGACAAGGAGAGAGGAGAATTCTGGGAAGTGAAAGGCTGAGAGAGAGAGACATTGCCAGCCGCCGCCATGACAAGCAGCATGTGAAGACGCCGGTAAGCCACGAGCCAAGATATAGATTTATAGAAATGGATTAATTTAAGCTATAAGAACAGTTAGCAAGAAGCAAGAGCAGAAGTGTAAACAGTATTATTCATAACCAAGGAAAAAGTCAGAAGGCACTGAGCTATTTTCAGAGCCGAATGCAAAATGCAGAATTACCTACTGGTAAAAGAAAAAGAACTGAGCTATCTAGCCAGAAGACTTGGAGAGCCTTGACTACAACTGGCTAGTAGGCAAGTGAGGCCACTCTGAAAGCACACTAGATGACACCAACTCTAGTGCATTCTGGAAAAGATAAAACTAAAAAAAAAAAAAAGAAGAAGAAGAAAGGGAGGTGCTGTGGGATGTTCTGTATGGCAAATGTGTTGCTCTGATTGATTAGTAAATAAAACACTGATTGGCCAGTAGTCAGGCAGGAGGAAGTATAGGCGGGACAAGGAGGAGAATAAAGCTGGGAAGTGAAAGGCTGAGTCAGAGACACTGCCAGTCGCCACGATGACAAACAGCATGTGAAGATGCCGGTAAGCCACGAGCCACGTGGCAGGGTATAGATTTATAGAAATGGATTAATTTAAGCTGTAAGAACAGTTAGCAAGAAGCCTGCCACGGCCATACAGTTTGTAACCAATATAAGTCTCTGTGTTTACTTGGTTGGGTCTGAGCGGCTGTGGGCCAGGCAGGAAAACTCGAGCTACAGGGAGGGGGAGGAGGAATGAGGAAGAAAATAGCAGTGGAGAGGTGGAGCACAGGGGGCCTGGAGGACAATGAATGAAGTCTACATGGCACTAATGCTAGGTGAATGGTATACACATCTGTGAGAACTAGACTGCCCAACAACAGTGAACCTTATCGGAAAGCAGGGCATGGCCAGTAAGAGTGTACCCTAGTGGCTTATCAATCCTGGCAACTGCAGACAACAGAGCCAGACTTTAACAGGAGGCTCCAGACTGTTCACTGTCTGTATAGCCAATAAAGCATTCCACAAGTGAAGGCCTACTAATGTCTTTAAAGACTGATTCAAACTATGCTAACTCATTAAAGGAAGTCATTAAATTAAAACTTCACTTAAAGGCAGCTAAAGTCAGGAGAGAAATTGGGGACCAGAAGGCTAGCACACAGTGACAGACACCAATCAGTCTGGAAAGTGGGCACAGGTGTGAGCCCTGGTAGATTCTGTGGATGACTGGAGGAAGATGTGAGTGTGGGCGCTGTATGAAACCAGACTGTGGAACTGGTGGTGGTGCCCCTGGTAATTTAACAATAAACACTGTGTTTAGGTCAAAAACACTCATGCTCCTAGTGTCATGAATTGAGTGTGCAGGGGACACTGTTGGTTTTTATGCAGCGGCGCAATGTTATCCATTAAGCAGCACTGTTACAGTGCAAGAAAAGCCACGAGGTATGACAAAACCCACTACAAGAGTTTTATTAGAGCCGGGCGGTGGTGGCGCACGCTTTTAATCCCAGCACTCGGGAGGCAGAGCCAGGCGGATCTCTGTGAGTTCGAGGCCAGCCTGGGCTACCAAGTGAGTCCCAGGAAAGGCGCAAAGCTACACAGAGAAACCCTGTCTCGAAAAACCAAAAAAAAAAAAAAAAAAAAAAAAGAGTTTTATTAGGAGAAGGGGGAACACAAGAGAATGTGATCAGGCCTGTGGAAGACATATGCACGGAGGGGGAGGTAAAGGGGGAGGAGTCTATGATCTGCTTCTTATGGCTTCCCCTGCACATGCGCATATGGGCTTATAGAGCTGTGCCACGCATGCACATAAACTGCATGATCACGCAGTGCATGGATTACTTGGCTACTGAACTGCGCATGTGTGGTCATGCAGCTGGGGGAGTGGCCAGGAATTACAACAGACAGTACGCGCCACAGAGCACATCCCACGTATGTGAGGTCGCACTGCTCTGTCCACCTTCTGCAGCACCTCAAAGGTCACAGCTGGACTCCTGACAAGACTGATGAAGGTACATGGGGCCCTCATTAGAGTGACTAAGAACAGAAAGACAGCCCTAAGGACAGACACACCCCCCACCACTACCTAGACAAACATGGTGGCAAGGGGTACTTTGAGCAACATGTGTCAACAGATTCAAAAGCTTTGTTGAACTGTTGAAAGGGTTAGAAGAATGAGCACCCACTTCTAACCATGAAAGGCCCCAGTGCAGCTGCCAGAGATTTCACAACAACCTAGCCCTGGGAAGTGAAATGCTTCAAATCTTACAAATGCAGAAGGAAAATTCCCTATTCATTTTCTCAGGCCACAGAATATTGATTACTCAAGCCAGACAAAGCTACTTCCTAGAGTAACAAAACTCTAGGAAGAGCTCACTGGGAAACAGATTTAAAACAAACCTCAGCAAGCTGGATAAAACCATGTGTGACAAATAAGCCAAGAACAGGTGTGCAGCACTTAACAGAGTCACACGTCATCAAGTAGCACTGTATCCGTTTCAGGAGAAAAAGCATTCTGCCAGTCTTAACAGAAACACATGAAAACAATTAGTGGAATTTTCCAAAGGGCCTGCCCTGTGAAGATTCCTCCCAGAGTCCTGGGGAAGACACTAAATCTGGGGTGGGGTTTGGGGGGGGGAGTTATCTGAGGGAAAAGAATCTATGTACACCATGCTCTTTTGCCCGTTTACTTATTTCTCTACAACAAACTTCTATCTACACAGCTTCAGCTCCATCCTCACATTCAGCTCCTCTCTGTACCAACTTTTCCTGTCTTCTCATAGTCCTAATTAAGCTACTATGCTTTTGACCACCTCATTATCCTCTGTTCCTTCATCCTACATCTTTCCTTCCTAGCTCCTTACCCCTGGCTCTGAAAAATTCTGCCTTCTTTTCTTCTCTCTGGCCACGGGGCTCTGCCTACCATCTACAGAAACTGCCTTTTTTCTTTCTCTCCCTGTGACTCTGCTCTGGCCAGGAATCCTGCCCCAGTCTTTACTGCACCTGGTTCTGCAAAAAGCCCTGTTGTCCTGAGTCAATAGCTCTGCAGTGCTACTAGGCCTGAAGGCAAGGGATGGTCTGAGCTTCATTTGCACAAGAAACAAAGCTGTGCATCTACAGGTGCCTGTCTCTTAGGCCCTGTAGGGGTGTTAGTTACTTAGTGGATCAGCAGTAAGTCTGAGAAGCTACACTGTTTGCCAAATGGCCTAGTAGTACATGGGCACACAAGAATTTCATAGCAGAAGACAGCTGATATATATTAATAAGCTAAATAACATCAAATATTCCTTGATAAATGGCTTCCTCTTGAAGGATACTTTGGTCGGTCAAGGTATAGTTTATTATATACAGCTGGATCTCTATAATATATATTTTGTGGCTCACTGCAAACAATGACTTTAGAAAAGTCAACATCTACTCATAATTAAAAACAAAACCGTTAGGAACAGATCTTTTTACTCTGACACCAATACAACAAAGGCTTTGGAAGAATCAGCATCCATTCATGATTTCTGACATTGAGGTAGTAAAGTTCTTAAACAGATAAATAATTGTTTCCCCGGGTGGTGGTGGTGCATGACTTTAATCCCAGCACTTGGGAGGCAGAGGCAGGAAGATCTTTTTGAGTTTGAGGCCAGCCTGGTCTACGGCGCGAGATCCAGGACAGTCTCAAAGAGAGACCCTGTCTTGAAAAAAAAACAAGAAACAAAAACAAAACAACAACAACAACAAAATGTTTCCTTCCTTCCCTTCCCCACAAAAAGCCTCCTGCAGACCTCACAGGAACCAAGTATTCCTAATAGAGGAGACAAGGTGCCCACCCCCATCACTGCTTCCTTCTCTTGGAGGCCAGCAGTACAAAACAAGTACATACAAGGCACAAAGCAGAGGGGAAGAAATAAAAACACCCATTCGAAAATGACATCATCTATCAGGAAAAGCAACAGTATACACTGACAAACAATGAGAATCTGTAAGAGTGTGGAGACCAGCCTTCCCATATACCCCAATAAGAAAATAAAGAAACATATACTCTTATGAAGAAAACGATATCATATACTGACAGATACTTTAAAAGACCACAATTTGAAAGACTTAATACTATGAGGATAATCTGTAGTCATAAATATGACATATTTTGTCAAGTATTCTTTTTCTTAAGATTTACTTTTATTCTTATTTACTTACCTCTGTGTGTGTGTGTGTGACAGAAAGAGAGAGAGAGAGAAAGAGAGAGAGAGAGAGAGAGAGAGAGAGAGAGAGAGAGAGAGAGAGAGAGAGAGAATGTATATATGCCACATCTACATAGGTGCCTGTGGAGTCCAGAAGTGGGGAGTGGATCCCCTGAAGCTGGAGTTATAAGTGATTGTGAGGCACAATGTGTCTGCTAGGAACTAAACTCTGGTACTATGGAAGAGAAGCAAGTGCTCTAACTGCGAGCCATCCCTCCAGCCCCACAAGTCTTCCTATGGAAACAAACAAATGGATTTAGTATTTTCTTATTAGACCAAAAGGCCAAGATTAGCCAAAACACCAACAAGAAGAACAAAGGGTGCCTGTGTCCCCCTAAATTAAGAAACACTGAAAACCAAGATACCCAATTGGTACAGAACACACCCCAAAGCTGAAGAAGCCTGACCCAGGTCAAAGCTGGCATGACTGGGGAGGCAGCAGTGGGCTGTGAGGACGAATCCAGATCCCACCTCATACTACATAGGCTAAAAAGTTCTGGGTACATTAGAGACCTAACTACAATTGATTAAAGGACAAAACCTTGAGGAAGGCTTAGGTGAGAAGCGGTTGGCCCCAAGACAACAGCAAGTGTGACCAGCATAAAGAACCCCTGTCCATCATAGGACACTGAAAACAGAATGAAAAACAATCAAATTTAGAGAAGACAGCCATAGTTCATAGGATGATGAAGAGTTTCTGCATAGGCCAGGCGGTGGTGGCGCACGCCTTTAATCCCAGCACTCGGGAGGCAGAGGCAGGCGGATCTCTGTGTGATCAAGGCCAGCCTGGGCTACCAAGTGAGTTCCAGGAAAGGCGCAAAGCTACACAGAGAAACCCTGTCTCCAAAAACCAAAAAAAAAAAAAAAAAAAAAAGAGTTTCTGCATAGAATATAAAGAGTTCCAACAAATGGTAAGACAAAGGGAGAAGACACCAAGAAGGAAGGCTGTGAGGCTAGCAATCAGCAGCACTCACATTCAACAGGTTCCAGGGAATCTTAGTTGTAACAAATGTATCTTTTCCACACACAGCCAATACAGTGAGAAAGGAGGTATCTGGGACAGAGAGAAGACCCATCTGATGCTGCCCTGCACAAGAAATGTGGAGGGACAGGCAAAACACAGCATCCCTCCCATACAGCTGTGAAGTGACAAGACACAGAGCAGTACTGGAGGTCACTCAGCAATGAATCTTCAGGAAACAGAAAAGCACACACAGTAGACCATGGAGAGGGTCTCAATCCAACAAGAAGAAACCCTGGAACTCTATGTCTATGCTCAACCCCAATCCACTGATGTCCAGACCCAATGTCTGCATCTCCCAAAAGGAAAAACCAAGCCCCTATATTTTCACGCACAGGATGGTCCCAGTGTATCAACTTAAAACCACCTGGGACCCATGCCATGGTTTGAATTTGAAATATCCTTAAGAGACTTGTGTGTTTCAAAAATTGGTCTGTTGTGGAATATTATTTTAAGATGTTTTACATTTGCTTATGCTCTGGAACAATTTGTTTAATGATGAAAAGATGTGTTGCATTCTTTTATGTTGCATTTGTGCAACTCTGGGAAGCTGTGTTACTTTTCCTGTCTAAAACACCTGATTGGTCTAATAAAGAGCTGAATGGCCAATAGCAAGGCAGGAGAAAGGATAGGCATGGCTGGCAGGCAGAGAGGATAAATAGAAGGAGAAATGGGGCAGGGAGGCTAAAGGAGGGAGCAAGGAAAGGAGCAGGATAAGAAGGAGGACTCTAGGAGCCAGCCACCCAGCTACACAGCAAGACACAGAGTAAGAAGTAAAGGGTATACAGAAATAGAGAAAGGTAAAAGCCCAGAGGCAAAAGAAAGATGGGATAATTAAAGTTAAGGAAAGCTGGTTAGAAATAAGCCAAAGTAGGGCTGAACATTCATAAGAAAGAATAAAACTCCATGTGTATTTATTTGAGAGCTGGGTGGTGGGTCCCCAAAGAGCAAAGAGTAAAAAGTAAAAAACAACAACTACATTGGTCCCGAGCTGGTGGTGATGTTTTAGGAAGCTGGGGGTCTGGGGACTAGTTGAGTGACTAGTTGGGGTAGGACTTGAGGGTTATAGCTTGGTGCCACTTTTGGCCCTGGTTTGCTGCTTCTAGGTGGTACTATTTAACAAATAGTTGCTGAACACTTCAACTACCACAAGTCACCTGTTACCATGTCTCCCTGCCACGATGGCACAAACCAAAATAGGCATTAAGGAGATGGCTTGCTGCACAAGCATGTAGAGCTGAGCTCAGATTTCTGGCACTCATGTAAAAGCCAGACACAGTGGTGCATGTCTGTAACCCCAGCACTATGGGACAGAAACTGTAAGATTCTGGAGGACTCCTGGCCAGGCAATCTAACCAAAACGGTGAGCCCTAGATTCAGAAAAGACCCTGTCTCAAAAAAGAGGGAGAGCAATTGAAGACACCCCATATTGACCTCTGACCTCCCACATATACTCACATAAGACTATACAAGCACACACTTACCCCAAACACAAATACACACAAAAAAAATTATATGTACATTTTTAGCGCGCGCACACACACACACAGAGTAAAATAAACCCTTCCTTCCTGAAATGATCCTGTTTGCAGACATAAAAAATAAGAAGCTTGGATTCCTCTGTGCCCTCCCTCATGGCAATATGTAGAGAGGAAGGATGAGAAGGGCATGAGATTGTGGAGGGCACACAGGGCTCCCAAGTCTCCTTTCCCGAGGCCCCGGTGGTCCATAACAGCATATTCCTTTCAATTCTGCCTCCTTCCTAAATGGGCCAGCAAGACAGCTGAGTAGGCTGCTGTCAAGCCTGACAGTCTGAGTTCAGTTCCCAGGACCCACGTGCTAGAAGGAAAGAAGAAGTGACTCCCAAAGTTGTCCTCTGACCTCAGATATATGTTGTGGCATGTGTGTACCAGCCCCCCACATATTTAGAATATATAATGTAAATGGAATCTATGAATAGAAATGGAAAGCTATTACAGGTGGTACCTAGACCATATAAGGGAGGCATGGCACTACCCCTGCAGAGGGAACTAACAGGGTCTTCACCATCTAACCTCTGACTGAAGTTCAGACCTTCAGAAAGGCTGAGGTGGCCCAAGTGGCAGCTGGACATCAGCTCTTTAGAATACTCCGAATACTTTCATTTTCTAAGAAATTGTTGGTTCTCTGATACTCAGGAACCAGAGAAACACTGCCACTGTTCACACTGGAAAGACTGTACATGAGGGCCACTCACAGCTGTGAGCATCTCGCCTCTTACTGGGGATAAAACACGCACACATGCAGCCTTATGATTCTTTCGTCAATACATCCTCCAAAAGAAATGACTCCTGTGCCTGATCATCCTCAACCAGGTACCCTGGCTGCTGGACTGGTGCATGCCACATGTCACTCTTCTCCAAAGGCTGGATGGATCAAACACCCAGGATTCAGCCAAGGCTACACAGGAGACCTCAGGTAACACCCAAGCTGACAAGCCTTTTTGGCAGAGTGGAGGCGGAGGGCAGGCCCACCTTGTTGAAGACCCAGACTTCTCCGTTCACGGTAGGCCTGGGCACCCCATGACCGTTATAGTGGAAGAGGACCCGCTCCTCCTTGGCATTCCGGCGCAGGGACGTGCAGAGCTTCTTGACTTCATCCACAGTGGGATCGAGGCTCTGTTTGTACCGAGCCTGTGGTGGAAAAAGAAAGGAGATACTTGTCACCCTCAGGGAGCAGCTGTGGGCCTTGCACATGTGGCCCCAAGCTTTTGCATTAAAAAGTGTGACGAGAGTATGATCATGTGGTATGTTTTTACTAGGAACAACTATAACATTGGACATGAATTAAAGACAGCCTGTCACATGTTGATACAAGTCAAACAGAAGGGACTCTTCTGAAAACCAGAAGGGACTGCTCTGAAAACCTTCTTAGACTATGGAGCATAGAGAATTTATTCAAACAAGGGCCTACAGCATCCACAGCAGCAATGGCAAAGTTATAAAGAGATGGAAGCGGTGTCTGACTTCACACAATCCTCCTCTACTGTCCAGTGGACACTGAATGCCTAGGGATGAGGCCCTGAAATGAACACCAGGGTCTTTACACACACAAACAACAAACAGACAAGACTAAGAAAATCCCAGTAACAAAACAGGCTAAACAGGTGAGAACTAGCTCAGGAGGAACCCTGTGGAACCTCACTGTGGGAACTGGCCAGCACGCCAGAGAAACACAGAGACGTTGGACTTGAACTTACCTCAGCAGACACTCATGTCTCCCCAGAGCCAGTCCCACATTCAGTACAACCCAGGAAGCATCTAGCAAGGTATTTATGAAAGTAAACAAGCCTCTATGGGAACCCACACAGAAGAAAGAAAAGACGTGCAAGGGAAACTATAAACAGGAAAGGGAAAACCCACAGTCAGTGTGGGATAGCCTCCCCAGACACCTGGAATCCTGCAGCATATCTAATTAAGATAATAAGGCTGGGGCTCAAGACCCCAGACCAGGGAACCACAACACAGAGATGCCAGAGTTAGAGCCACACACACCTGAGCTTCCAGGACCAGAGCTGACAGTTAAAATGTTCTGAAAGCTGATTTGTTAAAACTTGGGCTAACTTGCAGGTGAACTGAGTTTGGGACAGGGCAGAGATGAGTCTGGTAATGTACTGAGGATGCTGAAGCCAAAGATGGGGACCAGAGTCTCTGGTTCCCTTCCACTTATTCTGTGCCTTACACTTAACTTTTTTTTAATGGCAAATTCCCAGTAGAGGATGAAAGATCAGAGCCTGGTGTGGTAGAGGGTCATTACAGGCCTGGAACACATCAAATAACTCCAGGCACCAGGGCCAGTTCTTCAAACCATGGCAGAACCTACTGGGAAAACAGTGAGAGGTTTTGCCTGTAGGTGGACATTATGATCTGATCTTAAAAAGTAATGTATATGTTTCCATATAATGCAGTTCAGTAAACTTGCATTGTTTGATTTTTAAAAAGAAATAACACAATGAATAGCAATACCTCTGGCAGCACTTTTATTGTTGAGGATAAGTTTTGATTATCCTGGGTCCTGGTGTTTCCATATAAATTTTGAAATTGTCTTGTCAATTTCTGTGAAGAATTGCATTGGAATTTTGATGGGGATTGCACTAAATCTGTAGATTGCTTTTGGCAGGATGGCCATTTTCACGATATTAATCCTACCAATCTGTTGGCACGGGAGGTCCCTTCATTTTCTGGTAAATTCTTCAATTTCTTTCTTCAGTGTCTTACAGTTTTCATTGCACAAGTTAGATTTTGTCTCTTGGTTAGATGTAGTCCAAGGACTGGGTTTTGTTTGTTTGTTTTAATCTATGTGGATGAGATTGTCTCCTTGATTTCTTTCCTAGCATGTTTGTTCTTGGTACATAGAAAGGCTACTGAGTTTCTTGTATTAATTTTGTATCCTGCTACTTTGTTGTCACTCTTGGTTACCTTCCAGAACAATAGTTAAGACCCTATAGCTGAAGATACAACACTTAAATCACAGAACATGGAGAAATCAAGGTGGCTGCTTCCTCCCCACTGTCTGGCATTGATAGTGGAAAAGTGCTATTACTAAAGGACACAGAAAGTCATCAACAGTCTTATGCAGCTGCGAGCCCTGTAAGCCACAAGAGCGACTCACCTGGCAAGAAGTGCAGTGGTACAATAGCGCCATGAGTGTTATATTTATGAGTGTTATGTTTTTTGTTTTTTGTTTTTGTTTTTTTTTTTTGGTTTTTCGAGACAGGGTTTCTCTGTGTAGCTTTGCGCCTTTCCTGGAACTCACTTGGTAGCCCAGGCTGGCCTCGAACTCACAGAGATCCGCCTGGCTCTGCCTCCCGAGTGCTGGGATTAAAGGCGTGCGCCACCACCGCCCGGCGAGTGTTATGTTTTTGACTGGATTTAAAATCCACTCTATAAGACAAAAACCATGTTTGGTACCATTAATTGGGCCAAAACCCCATGGCTGGCTAGGTCGTGGGTCCTATTGAAGAGCCTAATATTATTATTCTGCTAAAGGACATACAACAAACTGCTCTGTAAGTTCTTATCTTTATACCTATAGATTAGTGCATTTTAACTGTCATCAGAGAAGTTTCATTTTTCAATAGATAGCAATTAATATAGAGACCCAGACTCAGTCAGTGTTAAGAGAATCAGAATGTGGAGTGCTCAGCTCCAAGTGGAACATCTATATCACATTCCCTCTCTCCAAGGCTCAAGGGTCATTGAAAAGAAAATCTTAAGAAGCACAAGAAGTAGCTATCTGAAGCAAAAAATACTTGCTGGACGTGACAATGAAGGGGCACATGTAAGCTCACAGGGACTAGGGCTGCAGGACAAGACCTACACAGGATCAGGCCAGCCAAAGTCACAGCATGGATGGGAAGGAGTTCAAGTCCCACCTCTATCTGAGGAGCTCTGGGCTGATTGATGGTTGATAGGAAATAGAGAGTCTGTTTCCTTCAGGGATGTAAGCCAAGAGGCTACCATTCTCAAACTCATGTACATACAAGCAGCACCAATTGGACTCAGTAAATATTTAAGGGGGAAAAAAATTGAAAGGGAAAGGTAGTGGGAGGGAACAGGGAAGGAACTGGACTGAAAGGAATGGTAGGAGGCAGATTTGATCAAAATACATTATATGCATGTATACATGAATATAATGATAAGAGTTGTGCACTCTGGTTCACATCTTGATCTCACTACTCAGAAGACTCAGGTAAGGGGAACTCAAGTTCGAGGCCAGCCTGGGTTACACAAGACCCTGCCTCAAAACTAACAAACAATCAAACAAACAAATAATAACAAAAAATACAGACAAAATAAAGACTATGCCTTAAATGACTTGAGAAAGACACAGCACATGTATGGAATATGAACAGACAAGGGAACGATAAATGACATCCAGGGTCTTTGTGGATAAGGATGTGACTATGAGCCAGGGTTAGTCAGCACCCACTTAGAGAAGAGTAGAAAGGGAGATAGGGGTTAGAACAGAAAGGGGAGGCAGTGCCAAAAAGGCAAGGAAACACCCTGTGAAAGTTCTGAAGGTCACCTAGTCTTTGGCAAGAAAAGGTTACACATAAAGGAAACAGCAGAAAATAAAGTCCACCCCACACATACTGATAACCATGTTTGACCTCTTCTATCTCTGTCTGTGAGAACTACAAGTTAAGAAACAGACAACCTTCTGAGAAGTGGTTGTGGACATTGTGGAACACTGCTCATCTGCTCCCTCAAGGAAAAGTCACAGCTATTGCCTTTAAAGACAGTGGAAAGATGCTCATGGAAGCAGAGGTGATTCACTAAATACAAAGTCCCTCTCCGACTATAATGTGGAGTCTCTGGAGGAGTGTGTAGACGTGAACAGAGGCACCAAGTAAAACCACCTGACAGTGAAAGGACCAGATGGCAGGCCCCAAATATGAGAAGCACTGCAAGAAAAGTACCTTGCAGTTTGCTACGGGCCGCAGGAGTATATTATAAGAACTCAGCTGGTTATGGCAAAGTCACTACCTGAAGGGATCAAGGAATTCCTTCAGAGGAAGCCAAATTCCAAGGAGCTTTTGGTGTTATTTGGCTTGTCATATATCAGCTGTCTTCTCTTATGAAATTCATGTGTGCCTTCATAGTTTTCCCAATTGATTTTTCCCTAAGAAGGGCTAACAGTGTGGACTGATCACTCTCTAGACATACACATTCAAGGTATTTGGAGAACAGCCTCAGGAAAGGCTTCCTTCCCCCCAGTCCATCCGTTTCTACCCTTTCAGCACTGGAATCAGATATCTCCCTTAGCCACTTTCAAGGACTAACAGGAATAACAGTCCAGACCACCACATGCTAGTCTCCTGATTTAAGGTAAATTCCACAAGGAGATACTGCCTAGGTCAGGTTTATAAAATTTAGCTCAGACCCTCCTTTCTTAAAGCCTTACCAACTTTTTGGACCCCTAACTTCTTACCTAACCACTTCTTGGAATGTAGACTGAGCATATAGATCCGCCTTTTCATATACAACCGGTCATTAGCACTCAGTTGACCTCCTCTTTTACCACTCCCATTCTAGATTGTAAAAGAAAGCCTGGTGGTCACTGCCTGAGGAAAATTCTTATCTACCTTTATAACCCCGGAGAATTCAAGTCTGGTGACCTTGCTTAACCAGGGGATTGCTATTGTTGGGTTTATAACTGGACTCCTGAGAGACTTGGGGGAGAGGGATAAGGAGGATTTTGACCAGAGAAACATGTGGATGAGATGGAAGATGAGGAAGAGCCAGATGGGGAAGTACTAGCTGGGTAAGAATGAGATGAAAAGAACCTAGATGAGGCAGAATTAAGACGAGAGAATTAAGATAGAACTTAGAGGGAGCAGTAGATGAATATAGAGAGAGATCAGGCAAGAAAGGAGCTAGGCACGAGAATAGAACTGAAGCTGTGCATATAGGATGTTATGACAGAGGAATTAAAGCAAGTAGACTATAGAGCTCGGTGTGCTGAGATTCTACTTCCTGAAAATAGTCCTCGCCATTCGTGTAGTTCTCTTTCCTGAGCCCCTGGAATATATAATATTAAGGCTGGTCCCTCTAATTTTATACAAGAGGAATTTCTGAGGTGAGAATCCACCAGCACCTCACTAACTTACACAGTCCTTCCAAGAATGTTT